CTAAAAATAGTGCCAACCCGTTCAAACCGTTATCACAACTCGAATTCCGTTCCAAAATCACCAAGCACTTGATCACTTCCTTCGAGAAAGAGTTTGCCAGTGACGACGAGGTCGATATGGAGAATGATGACATTGACGGTCCTGATTATGAACCTGATGGACTGGTAAATGACGCAGTCAAAAGTCATCTCATTGAACGGTCACCAGATGGAAAAAGTCGTCGATGCAAGCACTGCCACAAACACACAAACCAGATTTGCAAACGTTGCAACATTCACCTACACGCAAAGTGTTTCACACTCTACGAGGCCCACAAATGAATGGAATAATTTATGATGAATTCATTTTTCACTTAATATTAAGTTAGAATAGACATTTCTATTTATTTTTTATCGTTTTATGACTAAACAAATGATTGTCATATCAAATATCAATGTTTTAAAAAGTATCTAAAAAAATTGATTTCTTCCTCTTTGGATCACATATAGGACCAATGGTCGGATTTCCGACCACCCATTTTTACGCACGTGTACTGCACACAAATCACGAAGTAAATATCGGAAGAGGAATTGTATCTAAAAATATGGTCTTTTTATGAAAGATCTGCATCATTACTTTTGCATTTTTTATTTTCCAAATTTTCTTATCTACTGAGTGAAAAAAGGTCCAAAAAACATCATTTTTTCGTAGCTCGATTTGAAAAACGTGGATTTTTTTTTTCCATTTTATTTTGACTCCCAATGGATAGTTCGTCTTTCAAACTTCAATTTAAAAAAAAAAGTAACCAAATTTACCACCTAGGAACTGAGATATCAGTCTGGGAAGCAACGGTCGTTTCACTGGTCGGAAAAACGACCAGCGGGCCAAAATGGGTTAAGTCAACAAACAAGTTAAAACAGAGCAAACGTATCTTATTATAAGAGATATAAAATCCAAAGCAAAAACATATACATTGAACCTTTTCTGACTTATTATATCGGACCTTTTCTTAATTTTTTCTACAGCATTTTCCAGTCACAATGTACAAGTCGTCTGAATTAATCTCACACACACTATCATAATGATTATGAACTTCATCTCCTTCTTCATTCAATCCAATTCGAAATGCAACGGCAACTGAACGATTGTGGTTGTGGTCAGCCTTTTTCACTTTCGAGCATAATCCATTCTCGGTGAAAACGAAAACGTTAGTCGAGTACAAAATCGAGACAGCCAACAACGTTTCTGTGCCGCCCCACGTTTTGCTGTTTGAAAGAATGTGTCGAACGAAAAATTTACATTCTGTTTCTATATCAGTGACATTTTTCCCGTTCTTTTCGTAAACACGATCGCGCAATTGGTGTTCATACAAGCTAAAGTTTTCAGGCTTCAATATATGATCCACTACTTCGGCTCTCAACTGTTTAGTAGCTTTCTTGTGATTCTTACTACCGATTTTGTGCATCCATAGCTGATGTGCAAGTGCAGCAAACATGCAGCTTCCATCACCGGGAATATTCGCCACTGTAATTTTTCGAGGTGCCTTAGAAAAAACATAGTTCATTTGCTCACGCGGATCATCATGTTTCAGTGCCGCTGCCATAACGTTGGTGATTTGTGTCGATAATTGTGTGTACAAAATCTCCTGATTGTCTTCATCCATATTTTCTCTCCTTTTTAGATCACTATCGTCCACCAAAATTAAACTTAAATTTTCGTTCGCATCTGTCTCTACAATGTAATGCTCTTCATGTGAATCGATTGAATTGGAGGTATCAGAACCTTTACCTTTTGTAATAACCCTATCAGAACCGTGTGTGCCGTGTTGCAAATCAAGTTTGTCGTCTTCATCGATTTGAGCGATAGATGTGTGCACAGTTCGCAAATGTTTCCTAATGTTTGATAGCACCCAACAGCCTTTAATTTTCCCTTTCGTGTTATAAAACACACGTTTCGGTTTTTGATTTTTACGATTATCTGCTCTGCAGATTATGCAAGAAATATCACCATAAATCTTCGATCCGTCTTCAGTTTGTAACACCACTACGCATTCATTCAAACTTATGGTTTCATCGATTGCATGCACATCAGTCATATACGGCTCAAAACAGATGGAGATTTTTTGAATCAACTCGGATTTCAGTCTATCTTCTTCCATCGGCTTTACAAGTGGTTCGGACAGTTTCGGGTTCTTTTTGGCTGTCGTACATTTGGATGGCGGGAAAGCTGCTCGTTTTCGACTAGGTTTAGGGTTTTGAAAAAAACCAAGACCTGTGTTTATTCCATTGCCGTCAACAATTCGTTTTACATGATCGACCAGCTCCTCAATGAGTACAATATCACCAGCTTGAAATTCAAACGACGCTGGGTCCCATGCATATAAATCTCCAAAATGATGAATTAAATCCTCTTCATCGATAACTACATCACATTCTTCGTCAATGCTTTCACATAACCTTTTCTCTAGGATGCTCATGGTTTTCTCTCTGATGAATTTTTGGACGGTCGCAATGTTTGCATCGGTGACTTTTTTGAAACTAAGAGGATGTCCGAAACCACACATGCTGAAAGTTATAACATTTGCTTACACAATTTTGGTTTCGAATTTAATTTGAGATCTTACCTAAACCCATTTTTAATGAAATTTGGCACCGAATATGACAAATCCTCTTCAAGTTTTTTCCAGAAATATGCTTGATCGTTCATGTTTTTCGAATAAGAATAATGGAAAACGCAATTTTCCGTTCAATTTTGAAATGTGTTGACATTTGACGTTTCGTTTAAATGACTACACACTACACAGCATTACATTTGACAACTGAGCAGTAGCCGTATTGGTAGCGGTTTGTTCTCAAAGTCAATAGATATCTTGGTAGAAATTGAAGCTTATTTTATTAGGTTCTCTTGTGGTACATTTTTTCCAAATGACAAAATGAAGGAATTAAATTAAAAAGGGATATTTTTCAAGAAAAAAATCATAGTTTTGGGGCTTCCACTTAATTTAACAAGATCATTTACGCTTAAGCTGTTTATATTTTTTCAAAATGCTTGGGCAATTGAGATTGGCTTCTTCCACCCATGAGTCGTCTGACGAACCATATCTTTTCCATCGAACGAGATAAATACGCTTTTGAACCATTTTATCGGCAAGTAGTTTCTCCACTTCACAAAAACCATCATCATTGTCCTTGGCGCTTGATTCAACAGCAATTTGCTGGCGTGCAATTCCATTTTGTACTTGTTTGAGTCGTGCTTGGGCCAAATCTTTTTCACGTGTCAATTCCAATATTTTGTCTCGATTATCGCTGCGTAGTTTTGCAAGTACAGCATTCGTCTCCGATAGTTCAGAATTCAACTTGTCCACTTTCTTCATGTGGGCCTCATTACTTTGATTCAATTTGGTTTGAAGCTCTTGTTTGGCTGAATTCAACACTGCCAATTTATCCTGTGTTTGCTTCAATTCAAATGTGGATTTTTGATTTTCCGATGTCAACGAAATAATTTTATCGATCAAAGATTGTCTTTCCTGAGCCCAAGAAGCTGTATTTGCCACTGAAGATGGTTTTGGGTTCACCATTGAACGAGAATCAGATCGAGCATTTGCTTCACACTTAATTCCCAGCGTATTTTCTACATCGCGTTCGGTCTTGATGACAACCTGATCTATTAACACACATGCGTTCGATTTGTATTTCTGAATTTTTGAAAAAGTAAAAATCAATATTATAATGAATGAAATAATGTTAAAAAAACGAATATTTTGATTCCAATTTCAAAGACTATACGCACCACGGGGTCCAATATGTACTCGTCAATTTTGTGAACAGCGTCGACAAAACCAACACCTTTTCCCTTCGAAACATATTTTGCTCGATGTTCTGAATAGCCAAATATCTTGTCTGAATCAACGAAACCGCTAAATTAATTGAAATAAAAATAGTTCTATATTATTGAATTTCTGTTTCTAGTTATATGAAACATTTCTATTATTATTATCATTTCTTGTTTATACTTACAATTGCTTTGTACCGAAAAAAAAGACGCACTTTTTATTGCGGGGTGTACGGCCCATTGTCGGCGGAGTTTTGACAACACGTGCTGGCCAGAATGGACAGTATTTCATACGAGCCCTAGACAATTTGTTTTTAGTTTTTAATTTTTTCGAAATAAGTTTTGTCCAACTGTTTGTTTGTCACAAATAACACTTACCAAACAAGATCGTTTCCACTTTCAATTTCCATTTTGAAACTTTTTCAAGAGATTTTTAATATAATAATATAAAGTCGAATCAGTCTGACGACAAGCGAATGGAAACGTTTGCCTTTCGAAATATGTATACGCATTGACTACCAGCATTTTGACAGGTATTACTTTTGAATGGTATTACTTTTCAAATGCGTAGTATTACTTTTGAAACGCGAGGTATTACTTTACTATTATGAATTACTTTAGAGTGATTTGCCCCTTGGATTATACCGTTCGGTTTAAAACAACGAGAATTCAGGACAAATTCTTCAAAACTTGGCAGGAAGTACGAAAAAAAATGATTAACCGGAACGACAAAAATGGTAAGTATTTTGCAAAATTGTGCATATTTCGTAGATAACGGTTAATGTCTTGAAAACTAACTACTCTAATTTGTTGAATCGCTTTTTTTGTAATTTAGTGGTTCGTTTTGACTACGATGACGGAAAGTTGGAAAGTGATGTATTGAATCTATCAGGAAGTTCCAATAACTTCACCGAAAAATAAAAGTCCAACGAAAGAAGCATGGTTTTGCCATCTGTATAAGGTATCCAACACAGGTGACGAATGCTGTTCGTGTGGCGAATTCAAGGGGACTCATTCATTGCCTGAGCTCAGCAACGAATGTGAAGCAAAAAAATGGACATGTACAAGTTGCTGTGTGGAAAATAGTCACGAGGATATAGTATGTCCATGCTGCTATACATCGAAAGTGCAAGGAGAGGGATTTGCCTTCACGCAGACAAATACAAAGTGTATGTCAAAGATTGTTTATTATTTTATGTCTTTATACTAATGGCACTTTCGAAATCATTTTTTCTGCAGTGAAATCCCCTGCCAACATCGATCAATCAAACACACTTGTCCCGTTCCAGTTCGAACCATCAGACAGTGACAGTGTGTTTAAAGTGAGCAGCAACGGCAATAAACCGGTTTTGTTCGATCATCATGCTAAAATGTATCATTTGATACCACAAACGAAACTGTGGACGGAATACGCTGTTGGTAACATGAAAATTTTTGCAATCGAGGATAATTCAAACACGATTCAGTTGTTGTTGCATAGCGAAAACGGTTCGATGATCAGTTATAATGGAGTTATTGGAGAAGATACCAATATTGACGAGTTGCAAATATCTCAGCGTGTATTGATGTGGATCGGACGAGACTTATCAAAGTATCGGTCTGCAGAAGAGGAGCAATGGGCCATTCAATTTGACGACGTGAAAACTTGTGAACAATTTTGTAACATCGTGTTAGTGGCAACAGCCACACCAAAGGAGATGACAGTTACGGATCAGCCAGATTTCATGCAAGAATTGAAACCATTTTCAACGACAGAATCTCCAGTAGAATTCAAGCAAAGATTCATGAGAACATACAAGGCAGCAAGAGCTCAAAGCTATTTGCGGAAGATAAAGACTTGGCGTGAAATAAATGCTGGTCTGGGAATTACATCGGAGAGTCAAAGACGGTTCTACCAAAACTTATGCGAAAATTAGATGGAAACATCAATCAGTTTGTTGACAAACAACCAGTAACAATGACTAGTAATCCGCCACATTGAATGGATAGAAAATGGAGTCATAGAACTGTTGAAAAAAATTCAAATCCATTAATTCATTGCGAAATTGTATTTTTTAACATGTTATCATTTTGCTATCTTAATTTCCATTTTCGAAAACGCAGTGATTTTCTAATTTTCATTGATTTAATATCATTTATTATTCAAAATAGCGCAAGGAAAATACACAAAAAAGTTAAACACAGATAAACACAACACTATTGAAAACATCACCTAGGTTTTCATCAATAAATGTATTTAAAATTCAATTGTGAAAATATAAATTCTTCGGTTATATGACGAAGAAATCAAATGTCATACCCAATGAACATTTTTCAAAATTTCTATGCATAGCGCCAGGCATAATGTTACGCATACACCATGCATAGATTATAATGTCTTTAGTATAGTGTATCACCATTACAACTTGCATGGTGATGGTGACATCACATACTTAAAACCTTGCAATTTATGCATACCACACGCATTGTGTGTGCATATTGTATCCATACTCTATTGTATTATGCATAGTATATGTCAATTTCAATCTTACTGAAGACATCCTTTTGAGTGGACAAATTCAAAGGTGCAAAATCGTTGTAACAGTCTTAAAAAATTAAATTTTGTAGAACTTATTAGGCAGAAAGCCGAATTGATGTGTTTTGGTTCTATGAGTCATTATTTGATAAGAAAAAAGAATGTGAAGATGAAATATTTTGCTATTCTTCTATATTTTTTGCAATTTTTTACAGCAGTAGTAGTAGTTTTTTACACAGTTGAAGAAAGAAGACAATTACACTGATTTATTTATTCTATATTAAGCCAAATCGTTGGTATCCGCAATCAAGTGGATAGAAAGGTCGTTTTGGAGCACTCACGAAGGTAGGGACGCACTTGATATCGGTGGCATCTGTGCCGCTATGTTTGCGCGGAATGTGTTTTTCGAAGTTGAATTCTGTTGAATACAACAATGTGCACGCCGTACATTGAAATTTCAGCACAAATTGATTGTGAAGCAGTAGATGTCGACGCAAGTTGGCCTTTCTGTTGGATTTGAAGATTAAGTTGCAAATCGGACATGTCAAATTTCCTTCTTGAGACGTGCGAGGGATTCGTTTTGATTTGGTTAGATGTTTTTTTCTCCGAACTCGTAACAATGATCCAGGTTTTGTCATAAAAAAAAACGTTTGTCGATTCTTCTTCTTTTTTCCACTGGCATTTTTCTTCCGCTTTTGGTTGCGCTTTGGAGCAAGGAGGCCCTAAATCAAATCATAGCAATTAAAATACGAGTGAAACATACACTTTAACAAAATAGGATAAGTCGAAAAAAACACCGCTATCAATTTTACGCCAGTGATTCTTTATTATTACCAGAAATAATCTGATGCTCATCGTGGTTACGTTTCCGCTTCAGCTGGTTCACTATTGTGGTGATTGTTCACACAAATGATGTAAAATTTCTCGAATTATCAAAATCGTACAAAAACTGTGATATTTTCGTTTGAATTTCCCAAATAAACTCAGTTTTAGCAATAGCAAGTGTCAATAAATGTGAATATAACTTGTTTACGTTCAAATTCTCCACTAATGTACACACACGCACGACAAACTGGGGAATATATACAACGCTGATTTGCAACATACTAGAATAAACTTTTTGATATTTCTCCACTATTGAGTCACTAGCAAGCTTGCGCATGTGTTAGTAAGTTTGACAATCGCCCTGAATTAGAGTGAACGCATACATGTTTACTCCAATATATAGTGTGCAATGTTTATTCCGTACAGGAACAAATATTCTCCAGTTTGTCGTGCTTGTGTGTAGGCTTTGTGTAAAATGCGATGTTTTTGAGCGCGATGACAGATTGTAACTTGACAGCTGTGTTTGCGTCTGTTTTCTGTACACGGTTTTTGCTAACTTAGCACACAATTTCATACCATTAAACCAAAGTTTGAGAAGCAAAATGTTCTGGAGTAAGTAAATAATATATATTTATATATCTTGTAAATATTAAATATATATATATTAGGGCGGGTCGATTTTTTTTTCGACCAAATACCTATGATTTCTGTGTTCTATGGGTCATTCCAAGAAAATTTGCCCAAGGAACCATACCTCTATCGTTAAAATCGAGTCTGCAAGTTTTTGCGTGTAGTTATTTTTGCGC